CATATGACGCCTGTGTACCTGTCACGAATGACGAAGATCTCTCGATCAGTACTGATCCCTTGATCAAGGATGTTCCTCGTATCGACAAAATCAAAGGTAACCAGATCTCCAAAAGCTTTGAGCTTTCTCTTGAACGCTCCTCGATGCGTCTTGAAGTGTTTCATCTTTGCTCTGATGCATGACTCACAATAGGGATTCTTGTAACGATGTGTGAGTAGATGCTCGATTTTCCTGGCATCTGCTTTCAGAGTTCCTCTTCTCACCATTCTACTTGCACCGTCAACAACATCCACCTCGATGTCATCTGCATCATCATCGTCAGCTTCTGGTTCACTGTCTCCGGCGACATCTGATCCTACCTCATCTTCTTCTCCCGGAGATGCCTTGAACTTCTTATTCCTCTTTCGCCTTTTGACTTTTGGAGGCTCAATCACAGGAAGGTCGTCATCATCACACATGATTCCTTGAGGATCCACATCACAGTTGATGAAAGTCGATTGGTAATCAGCTTCATCTTCTCCTAGGGTGAACCTTGCGATCATCTCCGCCCTTGTATCGTCGGTGGGAGTACAGAAGTCACTGCCCTTGACAATATATGGGATGTTTCCCTCTACTTCTAACATGATTTTCTTGTAGTTCGGGGAAACCATGTACGGGTTGCCGCAGGCTGGCCATATGAATGTGTATCCTTCCTCCATGCATTTCTTTCCAACAGACAGTACTGAAGGAGACTCATCTAGGACGAATGGGGAGTAGGTAGAGTCAAATTCGTCGAAATGAATGTCGGCGACTCCTTTTGTGGATGTCACTCCATTTGCAGTATAGAATGACATTGATTGGTCGCTTTCTCTCACTTCCAGACCTAATTTCTTGGCTCTGCCTTTCGATATCAAATCATATCCACATCCTGTGTCCATGATGAACTTCGTTCTTGACCCTTTGGCTGGAATAGACAATGTCTTTGTGTCTGCATGATCTTTCTTTCCCTCGCATACATGAGGAATGACTTTATGATGGAAAACTAGGCCGTCATCTTCGTCAAAAGACATAGTGACCGATAGGTCACCCTTTGGTCCAACTGGTATTCGGACCCTCTTGATCTCAGTGTAGGGGACCATCAATATGCCTCTCGCCTCTGCGACCTTTTCTTCAAATCTGATTTGTTCTTTCCTCGTGTAGCAGGTGAGCTCTTTCTCATCGTATCGTTTGATGTCCGGACGTAGAGGTTTCTTTTCTACTACTTTCCATTTGTCCCTGACTGAGTAGATCGCTTCGTTCAACATGATCTCACAAGTCTCTTCATCAAAGGATACTTTTGCACCTCCTTCTCTTGCCTTGGCGGATGCAGCAATCCCTTCATCTTCGGATTCGTCCATGAAGAGTTCACCGTCAATGGCTGGGGCTCCAGGCTTCGCCTTAGGCTTCGGTTTGGGTTTTGCCTTGGGCTTTGGCCTATCGTCTCCTGAGTCAGCTGGTGCAGATATCCCTTTCTTAGGAGAGGCTTTTGGGTCATGGTAGAACTTGCAATCCTTCCCTTTGTCACAAGTTCCTCGAATCCACATCCATACTGGCTTGTCATTCTTTCCGACAGAAGATCCTCTGGATGGTGATCTGGGTTTCTTGTGACTGAATGGGCAATCTTTCCCCATAGTGCAGTTACCTTTCACGAAGTATTTGCACGGTATCTTCTTCTTGTCTGTACTCGGACTTCGGCTGCGATCCTTTCCATCACCTTTACCTTTCCCCTTTCCCTTTTTGTTCTTGTCTTCAGGATGCTTCTTGGGATTGGGTTTCGGCTTCACTGCAGCAGCGTCTTCTGAGACAACCTGTTCTTGTTGCCCTTTTGGTTTCTTCTTCGGATCAGCTGGTGCAGCTTTCAGTTTTGGAGCAGGTCCGCCTGGTTTGAGATTCTGAAAGATATTGGCCACATTCTTCACTGCCTTCTCCTTTTCCAGGATCATCCTGTCTTCAGTTTGCCGTTCGATGTGCCTTCTGATCATATCACGTAAATGTTTGTATGTCTTCTTGGCATCATCGTCGTTCATGCTGTTGTAGGCGCTGATGTCGTATGCCATGAGGTTTGAGTTCCTGATCTTTCTCCATAGGAGATCCCGAAGAGTTTCGTCGCTCGGGACGTCAACGGGCTTCATTCCTGCCAGAATCTCATCCCAAGTGTGGAAGAACAACGATAAGTTCTTGTCTCCTTGATATTCTAGTTGGTAGAGGTGCATTGAAGTATATAAGACTTCCACATTTGATGTTGTCTTGAAATTCATAAGGATCAGGGCTAGGACCTCTCTTCCCTTTATGAGGCTTGATGTTCTCCCTTTTGCATTGATCCTCGTCCTCAACTTCATAGCTACACCTGAACCATCATCTTTCGCATCCATGACGACCTTGGTAAGAGCTAGGCCGAGTTTGGCATCGATTGAATGGAATCTTTGGTCTCCTGAGTCGACAAACTTGTCCGGATCAGGATCGTCCATGGCTTCTTTGATCCAGTCGATCCAGGGCTCTTGATCTGAATCATTGGCCGCAATGATGATCGATTGAATGAGATTTGCCTTCCATAGTCCAAGATCATTGATCCTGGGCCATGACGGAACGTTTATCTTTGATTCTTCCTTCCTCGATACTTTCATGATTGTAGAGGTTGCCGGTGCAAGATGAGATGAAGAGGATGCTTCTGCTTCTGAAATCTTGTCCCTCAATGATTTGTTCGCCTCGGATAGCTCAATTGATTTCTCCCTTTCCTCGGCGTACTCATTGTGGGTTTCGGCATACCATTCATACATCTCATCTCGGCTCTCTGTCATTTCATTGTACCCGTTCTTGTAGTGCTTCGCCTCCTCTTTTGCGTTCCGAATCTCATCTTCCTCGGACGCGTGGGTTGGTAACCCGCGGTCTCTGGAACTAGGACGCTTGCTGTACCGAGAGACTATGGGTGCCATTCGTGCTTCTGCTTTTAATTTCGCATTTTCCATAATGACATTCTTTGTCTCCTTCTGGCTTTCCAATAGTGCATTCTCCAGTTCTCTGATCTTCTGTTGAATTTCAGCATCATCATCGCCGAACATAGGAGCTCTCATCATATTCTCTCTTTTCAGCTGTGCGTTGGCTTCGGATAGAGCGAGGTTGGCGTCTTTCAACTGTTGTCGTTCACGGATGGAACCTTCTAGGACTTCGTTATTGAATATTTCTCCTTTTGCGATAACCTCCTTTGCGGCGTTTGCTTCGTATTCATGGTGGCTCGCCTTCATTTCTGCCATTTCTTTAGCAGAGACTTCAGTCTGGCATACAAACATCTCCATCCTCATGCCCACTTCCATCTCTCCTATCTCCGCTCTCGCGTTGAGTTCAGCTCCACGTGCCATAGCTAGTTGACCTCGTAGATGATCAATAACCATAGCTTCCTGATTGCTCTGATCTTGAGATGAGTGAACACTGTGTTGAAGACGTCTTTCCCTGACCTCACTGTTCCATTGTTCTTCTCTCTGGCGTTGGATCACCTCGTGCATGTTGACATTCTCATCCTGTAGCGCAATCATTCTAGCTTGTATCTGGTCAGCTATTCCGACGAAGGCTGTGTTCTCATCCTGAATGGCTTTTGATCTTCTATTGATCGCCAATGAAGATTCATTCTGTTCTTGGATGTGTCCAATTGCTGCTTGAAGCTCTTGGGACATTCTGTCCTTCGTTGCTTTCACAGATTCAAGCTCTGAATGTTCTTGATGAGTTTCTTGTGCAAGCTCTTGATATCTCATGTAGATATGTTCAGCTGTCGATTCCGCCAAGCGTAGCTTGTGTTCGAGCTCTTCAATTCTTATTGTCGCTCCTTCATCTTCCTGTGTCATCTTTTGTAGATGTTCCTGCATCTTCCTGTTGTAGTCAGACATTTGCCTGAACTCCACTTCAGCCTCGTGGTGTAGTCGTGAGTATCCGGCTTGGATGCATTCATATTCTTCATGAAGAAAATTGTATGCGTTTCTCGCCGATCTCAATTCTTCACCCAGCTGAATCTCTCTTCTTTGCTCTTTTGTTCCTCTATCATCGTCACGTCTCTTCTCTATACTCCTTCTTGGGGATTTCGCGGTAGACGTTATAGGCGATGTAGATCTTGTTGTAGCTCTCATCGATCTTCTTGGTCCTACGGGTGCAAGATCGGTCAGATTCCGAGCCGGTGGCACGGATCTTTCCGAGATTTGTGATCCAGTAGGCATAGTGATAACGTCAGCATTTGCTGATGAATCAGTACCCATTGTAGAGTCTGGTGACGAAATGGTGTTGGGACCACCAGGAGCAGCGAATGAATAGGGTTCGCTTCCATTTCCTCCTGAGCTTGACATTGCAGGTTTCTGTAATGACTAGTCTTGTTCTTGGTCTCGTGTAGCTCGTACGGCTATAAAGAGCGCGTACGGCTGATAACCTGCGAGTGGATCTTAATCAGCGAAGTTTGAAGCTATCACTGACGGTCCATAAGCGGCGTAGCGTCGGAACGGAAACCGCACCTTTTCTAGTCGCTTGATCCTTGAGCCAAAATACATATGGTACATATATATGTACAAATTGCACTGTACGTGTCGCTGCACTTCCATTCGCAAACAACACGTAAAAACAATTAAACACATATGCATGAGAGCTACCCCAACACCCTCAACCAAGTTCGTGATCGATGTATATCAATCACCGGACTCCCAACACCCTCAAACCGGACACCGGGAGTTCCCACCCCAACACCGGGCAGGGAGTGTTTTTCCGATGAACAGAAGCGTGCGACCGAGGGCTCATCGACATGAGAAACATCGAAGCCTGGCTCGTCACCAATTGTTTTGCTTGGCTTTGGGTTGACATGGGCTTATAAATTCCGCCAGTGCCTCTCGTCCTTCAACAGTAGCTGGATAGGCGTGAACTAGCGTTCAGTGAGCTCTTGTGAAAGGTTTTTAGTGGACAGAAAAGTGAAGAGAACAACACGACGAAGCAAGAAACAGTTTGAAAGACGCCTGGCAAACCACTGCTGATGCCGGCGTTGGTCTTTTGCTGAGTCAGACCCCGAGACGCTTCTTGTTCCACCTGGCAGAAGCTCATGGAAGAAGGTCGAAGAACACAGGAAAATCCACTCGAAAGCCTACAGGCTGGGGTGGGGTGAGATGTTTTTTTGATGGTCTGTGAACCCGGCCTGCAGGCCGTCGAGCTCGACGCTGGTCTTCTAGGGACCCAGTGGAATTACAGAGCTGTACGATTTTTGCGAAAGGATCTGATGGTATGGGTCACATTCCGATTACGGCACGGAGCTGATGGGTAATACAGATCCAAATTTTCATTGATGAGGTCCAGGAAGACCTTTGTGTCTGTCTCGGTTTTTTTCTGCGCTTCCCACTTTGCATGTTTCAAAGTTTCTGGAACACTTGAAGAAAAAACTGTGGCAATGGGAGTGTAATGTGAGAAAATTACAAGAAAGACTCAAGACTCAAGACGCATAGCCTTATATATAATAGTAACAGTCTTCTTCGACTCTGAAGAATCAATTGGAGACAAGTGTCCCGCATGTGCAAATCCCTTTTGACCTGAACATTGAATTGCTAAGAGCAGTTGACTGAAAAGCGGAAATTGAACAATCCCAAGGGCTCCAACTGTCTTCGGTGTATCAGTCCCTTCCTTGGAGCCCTAGGGCAATTGCTTCACATCGCTTCTGAGACAGCGCAAACAACATCAGGCATCCCTCGGCCGCCAACCAAAAAAAACACAGGCCTTTACTCCACCCACCCCCACCCCACCCCACCCCCACCCCACCCCCTTCTCCACTTCGCCATTCTTTCTTCACCGCCCTCTTTTCTGCGCCCTTCTCACCGCCCTCTTCTCAGGTCCGGGGCATCGGGACCTTCTCCGGTGTCAGCGCGTGGGTCCCTGCAGTTTCACCCGGTGGAGCGATGAGGGACGCTGGGAGCGACTCGGGAGCTGGGCCCAGGGGGTGGATGGATTAGATGCAAAGAAACAGAGATCGCGGTACCTTCAAAAGGGTTGGAAGTCGGTACCATATACGTATTATATGGTGTTGGTGTCCTTTTTGCTGGTCGAGCAGGTTTGGTGGGTGCATCCTGAGAGGTGGATTATAGAATGATCATTTCAAGATACTTTACAGTAACTAATTATAAAGATGTCACATCTGAATGTAGATATTTTATGGTAAACAGCAGTTGGTGCAACCTATGCTGGAAACCACTGTAACTACCAGGTGTATTCTCTCACCAACTACCATCGCATGGCGGGGACCGAAATCGACCGAGACCTGGGCTGTTCCGCGAGTGTTTCAAACGAAAGAATTCATCAGTGTTCTTCATTGCATGTCATGGTCATTCTCAAGACTACCAGGGCCTGCTGGATACTCCAAAAACTGAAGACTTCACGATCGGACGACGTACACTCAGTTTTTGACGGCGCAGCTCATGGACGCCGGCAGCTAGTCCCAGTCTTTTCCCTGACCATGTCCTTTCCCAACTCCCCGAGCTATGTGGTGCTGGGCTTTGATCGAACACCAGGGGAGGAACCCGTCGGGCGCCGAGGTCACGGACCGCCGCCGATTCCGGAAGAAGAACGCTGGTCGAGACGGACCGGGACACGGAGACCCAGCACTTCGTCTCAGACCGGTCGAAGGAGCTCTTATTTTTGACGAAGCTCTCCGTGGTCTGAGACCGCGAGCGCGCGCAAGAAGGACCTCTTATTGACAATGATAAACCAGGAGTCACCAAACGGGGTGCAATGAACGGAGGAAGGATAGGGGTGCCCAGAACATCCACTCACTGGATGGGACGTGACTAAACACCACCCCGAGCTCTGTGACTGCTGGAGATAAACCAAATCCATTGGTTGGGAGGACACACGGCCTAAATCTGGCCGAGACAAGCAGCAAACCCACACAATCCAGTGGTTGAGAGGTCCCTATTCAAACGTCACAAACCCACATTCCCGAGATTCCAGACTTCAAGCGGCGGAGAAAGGCTAAGAGTTGATCGTGGAAGCATTGAGTCATCTTTGGTGGACAGCTGGTCGCTAGCAGCGGCATGAACCAGATCCACCTGTGTCGCGCCAGCGCACATAGCGCACCGCATGTGTGTTCTTTGTGAGAGCCTGACGGACATGAAACAAATGATGTGTCGGCATGGGGGACGTGGCAGCGTGGCAGGGGTACCCAAGACTGTCTCTTATTCAAAATAAATACATGTATAATCATGTATATAATCAGCTTGATTGAATGTGCCAAGTTTATTTCAGTCATCATGAAGATTCCAACATGTTCTTGACCATCAACTGGAGAAACTCAAAACTGGTCATGCAATTGTGCTCAACTTGAACATTTAACAGAAAGGCTCCTCCCCAAACTCCGCTCGACAAAGAAGCATAACAACTCCTGCAGTTCCTGAGAAAACAACAACACCTGGACCTGGTGGAGGAGAACCCTCTCCCAAAACTGCAATTGTATCAATGATGGAATACTAGAGGGATGAGTTTGGTACCAACACGTGTTAGTTGTACACTTGAGGGTATCCCCTCGATTCAATCAACCAACCATAGTGAAAGGCCATGAATTGCATTTACTCGCTCTTTCAGCGCCGATTTGTCCTTTCTTCGATCACACCAATTCTGTCGAAGACACTTCCCAGCGCCGCCCAGGATGTACTCCTGCCAACATTGTTCCAGGGTGAAGTCCTCTGCAATCTTTGGATTGCACCTTGGTGAATGGAAAAAAAACGAGAACACAACAAAATCGCACCAGTCAACATCCAAAACCTGTGCAACACATAAAACACCCGAATGAGCGTTGAAGCAGGATATCTTGCCCTAAGCCACACCTCCAGGCTTCGGATGAATCGTATGAGACCAGTCCACACGACCGAATTTGGGAATTTCTGCTGAACAGTTTGACTGTGAAACACGAGAGCCCATGCCTAAACGCCCGCCCAAAAATGATCAAATGCTCCTATTTATGACCTATAGATACCTATAGCCTGTGGAACATTATGGAACATTGACCCACATCCGCCCCCTGTTCAACCCCAACCGATCCGGAAGCATGACATGCATGGAGTGTCATGGAGACTCACCTTGGCGATTGTGATGAGTCGGTCTGCGTCGGTCGTCGTCTGTCCGCGGCAGTTGTGATCAGGTCCCCCATCTTTCTTGAGACCTTATGTTTCTTCGACTTGTATTTGAGATGAATGCGATTTCCCGGAGACTAACAAATCCATCATCTTCTATCACTTCCTCTGAGTCCCCAAACTTTGTCAAACGTCTTGAGTCTTCCCTTACTACTAACCAAACGTCTCAGTCTCACTCCTTCCATCGTTTCCCCAAAATTCTGGCCAAGTGATACATTATCTGATATTAAGTGTTTGTCCGTGCCTCACTACATGCACGCACGGTGTTGACCCATAGAATAAACGCACGCAGGAACCTCTTGTGCCATGCCCGTTCACCGCTTCCCAAACAATCCATGGGACTGGCATGGACTGGCATATTTGGTCCACCTATAGGGACCAGGGACCAGGGTGGTTTTGAGATGTTTTGAGGGTCAATGTAGATGGGGCTGCAAGACTCACGACATCTTACGACATCTTGCAAATGCACTGCAAATGTTCCTTCCATATACATGGTAAATATGGCAAACTCTTTCATGCATGGATTGTCGGGGACTGCTTCTCAAAACAAACAGATTGAGCTGATGTTTCTATATACCAAATGGCTGCGAGATAATTTTATCAGGGGGAATCCTTTCATGCCACATGGTCATGCCACGTGGCAATGCTGAGCCATTAGATTATGAGATGTCCCTTTTGGGAAAATAGAGGGGTCGTTGCCAGGTACCATATAATATTAGTTGGTTCTGCATTTGGGGATCCATTTTCCATTCAAATCCACCGGTCGCAAGGCCACACTCAGGCCATGCGCGAAAGCCATACCCCATGCGTGTTTAGGGCGGCCAAAGGAGCCGCAGCAGCTCATGGTAATATTCCTCCACGATTGACCGCTCCACCTGGCTCGGTTGGTTTGTTGTTCTCCGATCGCCGGTGAAGGACCTCAAAAGCAGAATTGGCTGGTGGCTTCAACTCACAAAGACAATAGTCATTGGGTTCAGTCATCTCAAGTTGAACATGAGAAATATCTGAAATCACCAGCCAAACCAGGACCCTCCTGTCGGGGTGTCCTGGCTGGACTACCCCACACTACCTATAGGCTTCCAGACAGGGCACCCCGACTGGAGGGTCCTGGAAGAAAGGATCCTGTAAAGCTTCACTTCTTTGACGGTCCAAAACGATCCAAAAGGCACGAACAGAAGCGTGAGAACCGAGCGTTTGACAAGGTCAACATTCAATAGGAACCTGCTGGAAAATGGGTCGAGCTTGCTTCTTCCACCAGCAAGGAGCACTGCTTGGTAAATGGGATGATACCCGCAAATATACTGAAGTCCTTCCCGAGAATACCCTACCTATCCAGGCCTCCCATCTCAACCACTGCCTGCTGGACACTCAAGCCAATCTCCGCCTCCCCCCGCGCCTCTGCGCGGAGCGTGGGGTCCATGTGGGAGATGAGGAATTGCCCGATCTCCTCCACAGCTCAACGACGAACTCCCGACGGTGGGTATAGGGCGGCATCGGGTAGGGCGGGCGGCGGAACTGATACAGGAGACGCGGGAGCAACAGGATGAAAGGGGTTTGTTGAAGGAGACCGATAAGTGTACCGACTAGTCCAGACACTGGACATAACTATATAGAACTATGTATAATCTTTAGAACAAGACATTGACTCAGAGAACTCATAGTAGAGTTATGTAGCCTCATGTATGCTGTGACATCATGCCTATGCTATATTGTTCTCTATTGTAGCACCGCCACTGCCTATGGCGGCGTCAGGTGGCCCAGCAACCCGGAAACAAGTTAGTTCCTTACCAATCAAATCATGGGTGAAGTCACTCAATGACTCAAGTTCTGCCAGTCAAACATGCAGTGCTAAGATCTGGGTGAACGGCATGCGGCCCAACTGCCCAAGTGAACATGACCACTTCAAAGAAGGAACTC